AGCTACGTCAGCTCCTCTCCTGGTTCTCACATCTTCCATTGTCCTTCAGAATTTTTTGTTGATGCAAATATGATCTATTTGGTTCTCTGTAGTGTGGTCCGGTGAGATCCATGTAGCCTTGTGTATGCGCTTGTGTGGAAATATTGTGCCTCCTATGATCAATTTGTTGAATTCACATAGATTTGCAAATCTTTCTCCATTTTCGTTCCCACATTGTTCGAATGTTCTATGTATTTATAAAAATTTTTGCTCTGGTTGTTAGAAGGGGCATCGGCCTCGTGTCTTCCGAAGGAACTCGGGTTTCACCATGGGGCGTCATAATTCTTCTAACTGAAGACCTTCTAACTCTCAGGGCAGAGTTTAAATGATTTGGATTATTTTTTCTGGTAAGCGTTTTTTTAGCGAGTTAGATTTCTACGGGATGGGGTCGCTAACCCCATGCCCAACCCTCCTCCTTTACCCGGGCTTTGGGACCGGCAGTAACCCTATAGAAGCTACAGGCGGAGTTAAACTATTACACCACCCACCCTGAATTAATTCCCATTTTTAACCTCTGACCTGTTCTGGCATTTATATATAGTTATTATTGTAATCCAGTTATTTACACTCATTTATGTTACATTATCTCAATGTAAAAATTCTATCACATTTTTGGTTGTAAGTAGCTGACGAGAAACCTCGAAATATTATGAATTCAATTCAATTCTGCACCAATATTTGTTCTTGCTTTATTCCAATATAATCAGTCTGGTTTTCTTTAGTGTAACCCAGTGATACCCATGTAGTTTTGTGCATGCGTTTTTGATGGAAAATGCATCCACCTATAATTCTTTTGTTTAAAGTACATATAATTTCAGATTTCTCATCATTTTCGTATATAAATAGATGTTTGTAATATGTTCAATTGATTGATAACTGGATGGTGATCAACGTCATGTATGTCAGATCCTTCTTAGTGCAAATCGAATCCTATCGACCAAGTTGAAATGTGGTCACTAGTCTAGATGACTCAAGATTGCGTGCACTATGTTGAGATAGCTCAGTGGTATCTGACTGTGAAGCTGGGTTATAAGGAGCATCGGTTCCCTCAAGATTACAGATACACTTTGCTGACGAAGGCCAAGTAGCACGAAACTCAGGTCCATGTTTCCTGTTGGCTACCTCCAAACACCATCTTATCTCAACAAGAACACCATCGAGGACAATCAAATGTATTTGAAAACAAAATTACAGAACATCTTAGCAAAATCTGAGAACAATACAGTAAATACTTCATTTGGAAAATGTCAATCAGTCGTCTTAGACTTCATTGTTTCTTTGTATTCACACCAATCATTCTCTATTCTTCGATCATCTTAACCTTTTGCCTCCAGTCATTTCGCTTTCGATTTATGATACATACCGCTTATATTTATCGACATCAGTGGCCCACACCACAATAGTACTCTTTCGTTCGGTATTATTCTCCGAAATATGTAAAATGAAAATGTAAGCTATGATCAATAATTACTGTCATCATAGATAACAAATCTTGACAAAAAAACATATAATCTCTTTCCTTAAGTTCTTCTCGTTACTTTAAAACGTGGATTCTATTGCTCTATGAGAATTATCCATTTTTGTATTAACAATGGATTAGAGAGTTGCATTAATTTTAGAAATAAAATTACAATGAGGTGAAATTAAAAACTGTTATTGAATACAATGACCAATGATTAATGTATAAGTTAAATTCACTTGGTATTGTTTTACTCGTATCTTCTCATTGTTATTTAGGGCTGCAATTGATCAGTCTCTTATTGGCATATGTACATCATGTGCGAATTGCCTTGATATAGCCCTAAGTCCTAAATAGAATGAAACGCGCGTCAAACTGGATTCCACTGCTAGCAACTATTCATCTTTGCTTAATGTATAAGTTTTATTTTTTCACTTTTTAACCATGGTTTCTTGCTGACATGAACCATTTTGAAATATTATCTATGATTAGAAGGTATTATTGATTCGTTTTATTGCGTTTTTATACAGTAAGATGTTAATAGCTAATTAGAAAACCTGATTTCTGATTATCTCATTTCTTTAGAATGTAAATAAGGTAAAGATTGTATTAATCAATTATGTCATAATGGTACTTTATATGAACAGATAGAAAATGAAGTTTCACTAGTTGGTATGTTAAAATGATCAGAATAACAGAAATTTATATAGCCTAACTGTATTCGCAAGGTATAATATGTAATTTTAAAGAGATCATTTGGATGTTTATGTATTTAATTACTCAACTGTTGATACCACTATAACAAGATAAACAGGAAGTTATGTTGAACTTTTGGAACTATCTTATCAGGATTCATTGCTTAGATTTTGTTGTATAATTATTAAACATTGAGTTTTTTATTTGCCTACTTATCAAATTTTATGCGATGAATCAATTATTATTATTGTATGTTGTGTATTTAACAAGTTACTGTTAATGTATTGTGGATTCATTACACTGTTCTGCTTCACCAATGGAACAATTACGCTGATGTATTAATTTCGTCATATTGATATGTGGTCAGGATTTGACTTCATAATAATGTTTATGTGATTCATAAATGCATCAGAAGAAAATCCGAATCCATAATGTTCTGTTATATACTGACTAACCTTGGAAATATTCATCATGTAAAAAATGGAACTCACAAATTCATGTCCATTATGTATGCCTTAATATATACATCTTAATATGTTTGCGTTCTATACTACTGTACACGTCACTGCATGTCCTCATAGAGTTTAAGTTACAAATATGATTGAAAATCCCGATACCGATTACCAACAAATCTTTTCCTCGTCCACAACTTCGGATAGGACATTTCACATCCAAAGACTTTTGTACACCATTAGATCCCTGCTATATGGTATGGAAGTTAACTATTCATGTGCCAAAATTAAAGTCCTGTGTCCAGTTCCCAGATGCAGGGTTGTGAATGTCCACTGTTCAGGAGTCCTATAGTAGGAAAAAAACGGTTATCCAGTGCTTGTTGGATTTCATAATCATATTTTCAAGAAAAAAAATACCAATGAGATATTTTATCGTCTTTCAAATGTATATGATGATTACAAATGAAATACGAAAGAAGACAAAGTATTAATACCAATTTTTTTCTCCAAATCAGACCAATGAAACTGTTGCCAAAAAACCATAGCACTTTAGATGGTTAGTAAGCGAAACATAATATGAAATACAAGCAAACACCTGCTTTCACATTTATTGTTTAGTGAATATGTAAATAAGTGTGAATGACCATGACGAGACTATAACGTATGGACTAACTATTGAAATTAAAGACAACACGTAATAAATTTTGGAGTGAAATTCATTTATCCAAATGGTTAAATAGAATTTTGGCACTATACTTGATATCAGTTTGTCAAGCAAATGCGTACTATAATTCCTAACCATAACTTCTAACTCTAAATCTTAATCCTAATTCCTCATACTAATTTAAACATTTTTTACCGTAGCAAGTAAGTAGATATTCCCAAGGTCCCTTTAGAATTGCTCAAAAATTGTGCAGAAATTATAATTTAACCATTATCATTATGAAGTTAATTTAAAGTAGTCGAAAGTTACATAACAGCCATGCCATTTTACAGGTAAGACTTATCAAAAATATTCTTGATAGACATTACTATAAAAGTATGGGAAGATGGAAAAAAATAAGCCATACTCTTTAGATATTATAAGTTTTTAAAGTTCATATGTAAGCTTAAAAGAGAATACATATAATATAAAACATATTGTAGCGAATTCAATGCATTTAATTTGAAAATTTGTAAGATAACATGAACCTCAACACATATGACAAAGTGAATGCTGGTGTTGTATGTGCTACTTATATCAACATAAGTAGTATATAAAGGCTTTTCAGGAATACAATATCTAGCAACAGAAGGTCGAAAAAGAAAGAACGGAAACAGAAAGCGATTGATATGATAATGAAGGAACAGTAAAGTCTAAGACAAATGATTGACATGTATAAAGAAAAAGTCAAGTTTAAGACAATTGATTAAAATATTTTACAAATTAAGTATTTACTGTATAATTCTCAGATTTTACTCAGAAATTCTGTAATTTTGTAATATAAATACATTCGATTGTCTACCACTTGTGTTCTCGTTCACTACAATGATAACAGTGAAAGGTAAATAAAATTCCAAATAAGTACATTATTAAACTTTATTTTAGGTATTAAATAAATCTTAATCTGTTTTGTAGGGCCAGTGAAATTCCACTGAGCCCTAGCCAAATCATCATGCAGTTGGTTCATTGAATATCGAACAAATCATCGATCCTCGTCAAGATCAAGTACAACCAACGCGCATCAGTTAATTGTATTCCATGGACTGCCCCATTCAGCAGTGGTCTTACTTTCGTTTGTATCTACTTTAATATATTTCCGTAATAACGTCCTCTGTGTTGTACAGTCTTCAAAGCATCTGTGGTACATTGATACGTCAATGGGATAGTCCACGTAAGGTGCTAACCACAAGGTGTGACTTCGACGTTAGCTGGTTCAACATACCATTCCCGTTTAACTCGAGTAGTTTTCCGATCATTTGACATAGATCATCTACGTTAGTGATCTACAGTCTATTTGTTTACGTATAAAATCTTTCTAACATGTTTCATATTGATTTCTTAACAGAAAATAATATTGTAATTGTTATACTTAGAAACGATTACATCACCTGTCTCACTCTCTCTTTCTCACTTCTCTCTCTCTTGCATGTTTGTTATCTTGTCAAAAATGACAAATGTCATTAACTCATATGTTAATTGGATGAATTTTTCATTAAAAGTTTAGATTATAAAAGATTAATTATTTACAATGAATTATATAAATAGATTACTGTATATATTATAATCAGTTGTATATATGATCATTTTAGTATAGTGAATAAAACATTCAGTTGATAATTATTCATAAATCATGAATAATTCAATGTTAATAATGATTATTGTATCTTCGACTATATACATCAATTGTATTCCTGTATTAAATAATATATGGACATTTCAATCACAAAATCAAGTACAAACGTTTAATACAAGTGGATATTCAATTCAAAAACAAAGTCAAACACAAACATTTATTAACACTAATAACAATGGACAACAAATTATACAGCAACAAATTCAACAACAAAATCAACAATTCAATTCAATTCAATCACAAGTTCAACATCAATCTATAAATTCTGGAAACTTGCAACCAGTAAATACATTGCCAATGATTATTCAACAAAATTGGAATGATGGTTTACAAATTTTAGTTGATCAAACAGAACAATCATTAGATTCACAGATATATAATCAACCAAAATCATCTAGTCAGTCACGAAATGACGTTGGTCATTTGATACCTGATCATCATCAACAACAACAACAACAATCAACCAAACTTCCTCAAGAATCTCAGAATACTGAAATACGACGAACACAAGAAATTCAGAATGAAGTCAATTCTCGACAACTCGATTCATCGCCACACTCCGATCAGTCACATTCCAATGTTGATGGTTTGACATTGGTACAACCACCATTATCTGAACGGTTTCGATCATTACAAAGTGGTCAAAATCAATCATCACAACAGACACAGCCTAGAGTTGACTCACAACGTCAACTCGATTCATCGCCACAATCCGATCAGTCACATTCCAATGTTGATGATTTGACATTGGTACAACCACCATTATCTGAACGGTTTCGATCATTACAAAGTGGTCAAAATCAATCATCACAACAGACACAGCCTAGAGTTGACTCACAACGTCAACTCGATTCATCGCCACAATCCGATCAGTCACATTCCAATGTTGATGGTTTGATATTGGTACAACCACCATTATCTGAACGGTTTCGATCATTACAAAATGGTCAAAATCAATCATCACAACAGACACAGCCTGGCGTTGACTCACAACGTCAAATCGATTCATCGCCACACTCCGATCAGTCACATTCCAATGTTGATGGTTTGATGTTGGTACAACCACCATTATCTGAACGGTTTCGATCATTACAAAGTGGTCAAAATCAATCATCACAACAGACACAGCCTGGAGTTGACTCACAATGTCAACTCGATTCATCGCCACAATCCGATCAGTCACATTCCAATGTTGATGGTTTGATATTGGTACAACCACCATTATCTGAACGGTTTCGATCATTACAAAATGGTCAAAATCAATCATCACAACAGACACAGCCTGGCGTTGACTCACAACGTCAACTCGATTCATCGCCACAATCCGATCAGTCACATTCCAATGTTGATGGTTTGATATTGGTACAACCACCATTATCTGAACGGTTTCGATCATTACAAAATGGTCAAAATCAATCATCACAACAGACACAGCCTGGAGTTGACTCACAACGTCAACTCGATTCATCGCCACACTCCGATCAGTCACATTCCAATGTTGATGGTTTGATGTTGGTACAACCAAAATCGTCTGATCTGTTCCAAGTATCTGATTCACCGATTCCAAATGTGTCAAATCCAATAGTTGAGCAGCATTCGGAATTTGACAATTCATTCTCTAGTGAACCAAGACAGTCACTCAAATCTCAGCCATCTACAGATTCTCCATTATCCGATCAAAAGCACCAGCGACTACAATAACAACCATTGGAAGAGTCACAGGTGTAGTCAGACACTCAAATGTCGAACGAACAAAAAGCTTTCCACTTATCATCTAATCAATCACAATCCACTGTTACTGTTGTTACTATATAATATCAGTCTGATTTGTCACAAATGACCTTTAGTTCTTAAGCATGCAGTCAGCTTTATATTTGTAATGACTTATGACCGATCATTAATTGCCACATTCATTGTGATGAGAATTTTGACAAGTAGATCAAATGGAATCATAGTGGTTAATGTTTATATAATTTAGGTTATGAAATCAAGTAGAAAAGAGCAACATTGTGAAATCGAAACCATAATCATGTAGCTAGTCTAACGAACGGTTCACAAACTGAAGTGACAGTGGAAATGGATGTATATTACTGTTATTCATGAAAGGTGGAGATTATTAATGTTGAAGTTTGAATGGATGATTTGATGGTAAACCTTATCGAAATTATCGTATGTAATCATTATTTTACGTGACTTTGTTTCGTTCAACTGTGTCTACAAAATGAATCTGACTAATACATGTTCTCGTTACTGGTCTTTACATTCCACTTGTGTTGTTTTAAGTTGACTCTTATCATAAAATCATAGTAGATCGTTTTGATAACTTTGAAGTTAACTGGTGAATGGTGCTGATATCTGTAGTCAGTGAATATGTGGTTGGTTTCCGTCATTATACATAAACGCTTGCGTTATACATTTGAGAAATAACGTCTGAAAAGCTGACATCTGTTGGCCTCTTTATAGCACTGGTTTTAATACTGTTTGATACAATGAACATTTACTGTTTCAAATATTCCAATTCAGAGAAGTGTTTCAGAACAGAATACCGATTGTATCTAAGAAAGGTCAGAAAAAACTCAGATTTATTCTATTTATTAATATCTTCGTTCTTGAGGCATCATAATCTAACTAAATTTATGTATTTTTCACTAAATGTTTAGTTCCAGTCTGGGACTATTCAAAGATGCTTACTTACAAATCAGCTTGATTAAACCTACTATATTTATATCTGAAGTCTAGCACATATTTGAAATCTCGTGGTTCACATAGCTAACTTTAATTAATTCTAAAAGTAATAAGATGATCAGTCATTGTAATTGTTGACTAACTGACTCATTTCAAACATAGTAGAACTACATTATTTTACATTAAAGTATGAGAAAATTATTCCAGCATTCGAAAAGCACATTATTAAAGTATTTAAGACAATTACCATCTTATCTCAACATAGTGCAAGTGATATTCGAGTCAGCTAGACTAGTGACCACATTGCAACTTGATCGATAGAATTCGATGTGCACTAAGAAAGACCTGATGTACATGACATTGTTTACGACCTAGTGATCCATCAACTGTAAATATTTAAGACAAAGCATTTAAAATATTGACTAATCATTATTCAACTGATTCTCAGCCAGAATTTATAAACCCGACTTTTACGAATTATAATGAACGCCTATGAAAACTTGATGTTAGCATTAATATTCAGAAATAAAGGTCTACGATGAGAATTGGAACGAACCAAGTCGTTCTGATTGATTAAAAATCTATGAATCTGATGTTGTCTGTGTTTAACTGACTGGAAATGGTAAATCACCATCCTAGTTTAATTCATTAATCATTGGTAATGTAAAAACTGGTTGTAGGTTATTAGGATTTTGAATTGGATTGTAAGTTTATGAAGTTCTTGGGTTGTATTGTTGAGTTTGTTGTTGGATGGTTTATAGACCATAATTCTGAGTACTAGTAGATGATTGAGATTGATTTTGTTGCTGAATTGAATATCCACTATCATCATACTTTTGTACCTGTTTTTATGACTGAGATTAACACTATCTATCGTTCTGCTCAGAGTCCTGTAATAATGATCTTATACTTTTTGACATACAATTGATGTTTAACATTCAAGAAATGGTAATCATGAGTTTTAGTGGAATGATCATAATTCATAATTGATTCATAAATTGAACAATATTATTCTGTTATGGTAATTATATTTTTAGTAGTGTTAGTGACCCATTTATGTAATCCGTGATAAATAACTAATCCTTTATAATTGACAGTTTTTATAATGATTCCATAGATTGATTGATTTAGAAACTATTAATGTAGAAAATGAAATCTGGTGTCGAAGTTTATATAACAATGATCTCCATAAGTGTAAGTGAAATCACGTATTGCAAATAATGGAGTGAGGTATGTATTTTTGAGTAAATTTAAAATAATAATGAAGAAAACTACACAAGAAATTCACATTACAACTTAAAAATCACAATCGCAAACTGTATTACACCATTTACTAATGTAATTGAACCATTGACCTTAATGAACTTAGTTAATTACTTATGCTTGTTACCTCTCATGGAGGAGCGCAGGCCGACCACCAACATTCTCTATCCAACACCATCTTGGACAATCCTTTCCACTTCTTTCAAATCGCTAATCATTATTTTCATGTCTTCTTCTAATTTCTGACACTGTGTTATTCGGTCTTCCACTTTTCCACTTTCGTTTCCTATTCTAAGTTAGCGCTTGCCTCATGATGCAGTTTGATGATTTCCGTAATGTATGTTCTACTCACTTCAAAAATCTTTTTCTAACTTACTCTGGTTTGTCTTCTCCGACAGTACACTGTTGCTGATAGTATCCGGTCAACGGACATTGAGTATCTTATGTAGACAATTGTTTAAAAATACTTGTACAGTTTTGATAATGGTTGTAGTAGTTTTCCGAGTTTCAGGTCCATACTGTAGTGCTGTCTTGACGTTCATATTGAAGATTCCGACTTTCATATTGGTTAATAACCATCTCCTTTTGAACACATAAATCAGGCTTTTGGCGCCTGATAGCAACTGCTTCAGCAAACTTCAGAAGAATGGAGTTTGGCTGCTTACTAATCACCTTGATGAGCACCTTGATAAGCAGAAAAGATATGTACCACTGACAAAATCGAAGAAGAATTGATGAAAGTGGAAAAATGCCTGCGAGACAACTTTTACCCACAAAAGTTTATTGACAAGTATAAGAAGCGTAAAGAAAACAATACTGAAGTAATTACTGTCAATAAAAAAACCAATAACTATAAGTCTTAACTTCAAAGGTGACGAGGTTGCGAACACAATCAACAGGAGACTGAATACTGCGCTAGCCAGAACTTATCCGGCAGCCAAACTTCAAATTCTGTATAAAACAACATGTTCAATAACTCAATCAAAAGTTGATAAGCATCCTTTTCATGTTACCGCCAATTGTATTTATAAATTTACGTGTACCTGCCAAAGCAGCTACATTGGCCGAACAGAAAGGAGGGCATATCTCATATTTTTTGAACATGTTCCAAAAAGCCTCAGAACAAGAGAAAGAAAGACTCTAAATAGTGCAAGCACCAAACATCTTCTTGATACAGGACATCAGGTCGATACCCTACAATCATTCAAGGTGATTAGTAAGCAGCCAAACTCCAGTCTTCTGAAGTTTGCTGAAGCAGTTGCTATCAGGCGCCAAAAGCCTGATTTATGTGTTCAAAAGGAGATGGTTATTAATCTTTCCTTGCCTTGGTGATTAATATTCCTTCGTTATATCTTAGTAATTTCATATTGGTTGACAGACATTTGTGTTGAGTTGCATATGTTGTTCAACTGTAGGAATGCTGTCCTTACTTTGTTAATCCTTGCCTGTACGTCTGCATCAGATCGTCCACGTTCATGGATGTTATTGTTGTCCAGATGAGTGAATGTTTCCACCCCTTCCAGAGATTCTCCATCAAGTGTGATGGTGTTAGTGTTTTCCGTGTTATATTTGAGGATGTTGCTTTTTCCCTTGTGTATGTTGAGGGCTACTCACTCTAATAAAAGGTTAATCCTATTGTTTGAACAATTGGTTAGAAATCTTAAAAAATACAAAAAATCACTAGTGTGAATGCTATTCCAAATCAAAGGGATTAACAAATGTCATTTAACCTTCTGTCCTTACCAGGAAAGATTGAAATTTTTGGCAGGAAATGTTATTTAATCTCAGATTTATGTCAGATGACTTGAATAGGCTTATTGGTCAAATGCGTTTGATAATCGTTAACTATACTAGGTGTAGTTTGTAGTCACTCATCTTAATATTCAGTGCAAACATTACGGGTCATATGTATTAGTTACTTTAAATGTAAAAATCTGTTTTCGAAACAAGTTAATTAGTGAATAGCAATTACATGTGTTTAGCCTCCTAATAAACTAAATTAGGATGTCTCATATTCAGTTGTTCGTAGGAGAGAACAGACCAGCTTCCATTTGAAGAGGAAATTAGGAAAAGACGTTGGAAATGTATCAGAAACACATTAAAGCAATCGTCAAACCACATCACAATGCAAGCGCCGACTTGGAATTGTGAAGAGAAACGGAAAAGCGGAAGACCAAAGAACACATTGAATCGGGGATCGGAAGCAGACATGAAAAGTATGAATAGCAACATGAAAGAACTAGAAAAGATTGTCCAGAACAGAGTTAGTTGGAGAGTGCTAGTGGTCAGCCTATGCTCCTCTACAAGTGGTATCAAATGTAAATAAGTTTCTCTAATTTAATTCTAACTACAACTTTGTAATTTTTTTATAAAGATAATGACTCAACTCAGAGGACAACGTAAACTTCTATGTATAAATAACATTTGATTTCATCTTAACGAGTTGAAAACGTTCTAATGAATTGTTAATCAAATGTGAATGATGTAACTGCTGTCTATTAATACTAACATCAAGGTCATCAGAAATTTATATTCAGATGAAAAACATTAACCAAGAAGATAGTAAACAAATAAAAAAGGAAAGTATAAATAGGGAAGAATGATATATGTGATTATGTATTTAGGCGGAAGACTGAAAATTCCCTGCTACTGCCGAGAGTGGGGAGAGTCCGCTCTCCCTCTCGAAATGCTCTCACATGGCCACGCGTATATAGCCCCTGCCAGGGAAGTCCTACTCAGTGCCTTCTCGTGGC